ATTTAGTCGAGTAGTTTAGTAAAGTAATTTAGGTTAGTCAATCCATTCAGGTGCGTTACCCCAGCATCCGTTCTTTCAAAATCATGAATTGTAATCAAGCAGTATTATGTACTTTATTTTGTACAAATTTGTACAACCAAAATTAAATTTTGTACAACCCCCAAACCTCCCCGAAATTCAATTTAACCTTACGGGTGCTGCGGTAACGTTACCCCAGCACCCGGATAAATTATTTTTCACAAGTTTCAACTATAAACCGTACAGTATTATGTACTTTATTTTGTACAATTATCAAACCAGAGGCGGCTCGTGGGGTTCATAGAAGTTTGAGTACATAATTGTACCTACCTAATGTTACTTTTTTACTCATTTTTCTCACAACTACTCCATTGTTGCTTACTACCTTTTGACTTATAATATAGACACACAGTCTGAACTAGCCTTTAGACTTTTATATTGAACGTATAATATGTGTTACACAAAATGCGTCATAATTGATATGTAAATATTAGCAACTTAACCACTGCACCAGGAGGGGAAGATATAACATAATAATAATAATAATATAGACATTGATTCTCCTGTAAATTGCATGTACCTACTTTTATTCAATTACTTGTTCGCGTTTAATTTCGTCTATGTTATGTTAATGAAATTGTTATCTCGTGGTCGTCAATTAATAGTCATATATCAAACAAATGTTAAGGGCCAAGCGGAAAAAAATTATACAACGAAATCCTGCTCCTCCCTACTCGTTACGAACATAATCATGACCATCTTGTCTTTTCATCGCTGCTTCGATCTAGTTATCGTGATCATAGTTAACTACTGTCGTAAAACCTACCAGGACCAAAGAGTGAAGGACCAAAACAACAATGAATTTAAACATTTGCCTTCTCCTCATCCTCCAAGTCACTATCCTTTTACCATCGTCACTAATTGTTTTTTTTCTCGGCAAATTTTTTGTCATAGAAAAACATGTTAACGATTCACCAGAATATTATATTGTATTCAATATTATTTGTATACAAGGCCAAAAGACACGCCGAATTCAAAAATTAATTTTTTGGATTAAAATTACAAGTCTTAATCATTTTTAAGTTCTGCATAAAATTAGCCGATCGTACGTAATGAATTGTAAATATATAAAAATCTAATATACATTACTCAGCCTAAAATAACATTTATATTCTATCAGTGGATGGTCAACATATAACAGAAACTCGTCCTTGATACATATTATTTTGTAATTTGGTTGTGTATCCGTAAAATATTTCATGAGATATCTTGACTAAAATATTCGTGCATAAATATAGTATTGAATAGAAAAATTTTTCGTGTACATAAATTATACAATACTGTAATTACTTCAAATGTATAATATATTCCAATGTTGGACAAATTTTGAAAGCCTGATGTACGACTATCATTTTACAACCTAATTGAAAATAATTTAAAATATAATCAATCCAGTATATGCAATCCTAATAAATACCTTGTAATGATAAATCACCAACATCTAGATGCGTTGTACCTGCTGAAAAGATGTCCGAATATATTATTATACAATAATATCTACAGAACATTTGTTTTCCCGTTTCAGATATTCGTTATTACTTACCTTTCTAAATTATTGGATACGTTACAAGTACATGTTGGGTTATAGGTTTCCGAAATAAAGTTGCGCTATGCTACGCGCCTGTGTGTTCATTTTCATTATTCAATAACGATTTAACTATTTTATATAAATAATATGGCCGGCAATATTTTAATAAGCATCATTTTGTAGAAATAACAATACAAAAATTTATACTCGTACAACTAATAATAATAATTACTAAAAATGATTGTTAATAATTATAAAATACAATTATTTTTTTAACCAAAGCAGGTAGGTTAAGAGCATAATCATTTGAATAATACTATCTGCATATTTATTTTTATTTTATTTGTTTTTAATTTATTTATTTACTTAATCATTTATTAATACCCACGAGGAGTAAGGATACTGTGGTTAATAATAAGTTAATACTAATAACTGATTGCATACGATAGTTAGCTAAATACATGAAATTTCAATTTAGATACGAGTACAGAATTGAAATTAAAGCCAAAATGAACTAGTTCATTACATGACTCAGGTGAGCGGCATGTCGGACTATTACTTACTCAATCTTTAAAAATATAAGGATCATGAAAACTGAATATATTTCTAGAATGAAAAGCAAGTGTTTAAAATCTATTTAAGATTAAAACTCATCACAATCTATCATACCGTTTGTTAAAATGTACATAAAAACTACATAAGAATATTTACTACGAGTAGCTAAAGGTACAAAACCAATAGGGTTAGAATGTACTCCTAATATAAGATATTATCTTAGAAACATTCATTTATATATATAGTTCGATAACATTCTCAACTCACATCACTAATTACGCAAAATTTAATTAAAAATAAAACCACGGGCTATTGATTATTTAAAAGTAAATTTTTCATAATTCACATAACATCAATTTGCAAGAGCTCAATATTTATAATTCGAAAGGTAACACATCAATTTTCATTGAATATTAATGATTTATATAACAAATTTAAATCCTTACAGCAAACAAATATTTCGTAGTTTTGAAATAAACTACACTGATTTTGTATCTTTGTAAGTGAACCACGTCTATTTTTATTTTATATACAGTCCTATATAATAAAGTATTAATTAATGCATACAGATTGTGCATCAACAAAGTTGAATTTTTTTAAATAATAGTACATAAAAAAAAGTTGTGTTCACTTTTTAAAAATACCATTCTTAATCTTCGATAAATTTTAAACTTAACAGTTTAATACTATTCAATAATTGTAGTTCTAAACTTTTGATTCCCTTTAAGGATAAAAACCGAATTAAATGAATAAATTATCAAAAAAATTACATTTACTGAAACGGGATGAAAAATAATCGTTTAACTGATGCCAAGACTAGTATTAAATTTAATAAACAAATTATTTACTGATGGATATTTACCTTCAAACGTTTTATGTTTTTATTAAAATCACTTGAGTACGAACTTTCCCAAACCCAACTTAGTAAATATATAGTTATAAACAAAAAGCAATTGTTGCAAATTAACTTATTAAATATCCCTGTACTTAGATTCGAAATGTGTTTCGATTTACAAAAAGCCCTTAAATCATATGTATTTTTTTGTATTTTATATTATAAAAAAAAACAATTATGTAGTATAGTACGTTCTCGTGTCTTATTAATATCGGTTTCCACACAAACAGGGCCTGACTGGGTATAACCAGACAGGCCCATTTAAATATACTAAAGGTTTAAAAACAACCATTAAAAAACGTATATTTTCATATAAAATTATTGTATATTGTTTTAAGAATTTGAACACTTAATATTATTATTAAAAATTAAAATACCGTTTACTTAATTTTAGACAGTTTTTAATGCAAGTGCATTAGAAAATATATCTATGTCTATTGGCACAATGATCTTAAACCGATAAACCTAAATAAAAACTTCCCAACGAGTTTAATTCTAAAAACGGCTTTATTTAAACAAACGACCACCGAGAAACTCCCGATATACCGCTTCTGCCCAGTCCAACCATGCTTACAGAGTATTACTTCACAGTATGAAATACAAGATAGTATTTTAATATATTTCGCATAAAAAATGTATTTCATTTACTATCCTACATGAAACACTGTTCGTCCCTGAGTAAAATGGCTTGAGGATAGATTATGATAGAGATGGCTATTTGCATATAGTATTCAAACCATAATATTCGAAATTTATCATTTATCAAAAGAAGAACATGTGGAGAGAATTTAATGTTATTTCTTGGTTACCCTTGCCAGTCTATTTATATTTACATTTAGATAAAATATTGCGAAAATCGAAAAATTACTCGTTTAAAGAACCGACTGTATCAAATATTTTCTTTGAAAAATGTCTGTATGAAATTCTTTCGGAATACGTTTGCAAACAAAGAATAATTACATCATTGTGTAATCAATATACTACTATTATTTTATCAGTAACTCAAAAGATTTCTCTCCTAGGTACGGAAATTAGGTGGACCACTTGGGCGATTTTCTTCGAACTTGATTATACCATGGCTAAAAAACGCACATATGGAAATGCAGAGTGAAAAAGACAGAGAGAGAGAGAAAAAAAAACTACGAATTTATTTAGAAAATATAATTATATATATATATGTATATATGAGTCATGAAAATTATTTTTTGTATGATATTCTAAAGATAAGAGCACTTTTGTACTAAAGTGTATGGTCACATTATAAAGCTCGTGTTGAAAAAAATTAAAATTTAAAAAAATAAGACTGCATATAGAAAATAATTACAAATAAACGACTATTAAAACTACTAGTATTAAGAAAATAGAATACAATTATTTTATCAAAATTAATAAAGAATAGTATTGAAATTCACGCAAAACTATTCCCACGGACCGACAGAAACGTTTGGGCACTGCCTACCGCAAACTCGGATAAACGACCTGATTAGATAACCATCTGTGTTCAACTTGGCGATCCAATGCTTTCCATGTGAGTAAACTTTTATTACACACGCACACCGGAAGAGTGCAATGAATGAATATAATCGTTAAATGATCGGAATCTTTAACCGCGATGATTGTTGGTACCTCAAAATAATGATTACAGAATTGGTTTGAAGCTAATTTTCTTTCAATATGTCAAATTTAGGCAGGTAGAAACTTCCACGTACAATCTTACTATCGTTTGCGGGTTTACTTTTCTCTCTCTCACACACACACATACACACACAATTTCAAACAGATAAATGTTCGCGAACTGTCTCATCTCGCGAGTCAAACAAAATATACCTAGCTATTTTCGTGGTGAGAAGGGGAGGTGCGCATAAGGTTTCCAACATTATCCGATCTCCTTGCGTTCAATATTTAGCTACTCCTGAGAAATCGTTTAAATATATTGGGACTTACGAGGAATTCGAACCGAAGATGAGCAGGTGCACGGCGGTAATGACCAAAGTCGCGAGCGAGATCATTGCACGAACGCACGCAGCAGTCTGGTCGCGGAAAATTACGTCTCGCGACCGTCCTTCGGAACGTTAGCGCACTGACTGAAGCAACTTCACACCGGGAGCACGCGACCGACGTGCCGTCCCGTGTGTGTTATCGGGAAAACACTGTAAACGGTGGATACAGAGCACGTTATTGAGAAGAAAAAAAAATTGCCCAGCAACGGGACTTTTTGGGTATGGAAAAAAAATAAAAATTAAATTGTTCACCGCCATTATCTATTGACTCGTGTAAGCACGACACAAATATTTCACGTTTTTAAATTGCACGGTGACTGCTTGTGTATTTATAATACACATGCACACCGTTTGAAAGATACCATTTTTCAACCCTTTCGTCCTCGCATAACAATTAAATGGGACTCGTGTTTAAGCCCTACATTTTTCAGAACCACCACCCCCACCACTACTACCATCATCACCACCAACGCCGCACCGTATTTTCTTGTTTTAAATCCTTTATGTTGAAAAATAATTTAATTTTTATTGTTTTGAGAACTATCGTTTTTAATCGAATCAAACAAAATACCCCTACGCCACCTAGTGAATTACTTTGTACATAGGATTCATACGTATGCTAGTTTGTTAGTAATATCATTGATTATAGATAGTATAGATAGCTCACTGGATAGTTTTTCGATGGCGTAGAATATAACTGCCGGTAGATAGCGATAAAAGAAATAAATTTATTTAAATTGATATTTATAAAATAATCCCGTATAGCTCCGTATCGAACCAATATTGGTGTGCGTCGGGTGGGAGAAACAGATAATTTTCTATTACTTATTAGATAATAATATCATATCCGATGCACGACGGGCGAAGAAAATAGGCCGAGCTGTTTCCGTACCATCGCATCGTAATCGTTGTTTATTATATATTTTGTATTATAATTTATTTATTTAATAGAAATTAGTAATTATAATATTTATAAAGTATATGCTCGGTACTTACCTCCGTCTTATTGTAATACTTATTATTCTTTGTTATATTTAATTTAATTGATTACTGATAATTACAATTTTTAAAGTGAATTTTTTTTTTTATTATTGTATTCTAAAATCTCTTATTAGTCAGTTTAAGAACATATTTTTTCGTAAACTTGAATTTCATATAATTTTACACCTTGTGTACATAAGTAAATGTGATCTAAATAAAAACAAATTAAGCATGACTTCAGTTAACTTATTGTTATACAAAAATTATTGATTTACAATTTTTAAAATATTTTAGAAAATAATTATTATATATATTAATTATATTAATTAATATATATTTACGATATTTATTGGCATCTAAATTATGTAACTGAAGTCCGGGAAAAAAGAAAGTTTTTTACCCCCAAATTTTACACCCACGATGAGTACTTGTATGAAATATGCACCTATAACATCTGTGGACGTTGAATGGTCGTTTAGTACTTACAAAATGATATTAACTGAAAAAAGAACCAACATGACCCCACAAAATATGGAAATGTATTTTGTAATTAATTGTTATGAAAACAAAAAATAATAGTTTTTTTATATTTAAATATTTTTTTGATTTAATTTGATGTTGAAAGGTTCAACATTTCTATTTTATTATTTGTTTAAACTGTTTTAAAAACATATAATGATATTTTTTTTATATATTTAAATATTTTGTTGATTTAATTTGATGTTGAAAGGTCCAACACTCCTAATTTTGTTATATTTTTTATGTTATAAATTTATTAAGTTTGTAGTTGATAAAGTAATATAAATTTATAATGCATATTTGAGCATATTTTTCATTTATTTGTGTATATTAATGCATATTTTGACCCTTTTTCTTTGCATATTTGCATCATATTTGCCACATTTTTAGTGCATATAATTCCGGTCTCTATTTATAATCAATGATATTACATACAATAATTGTGTATCCCATTACAATACGTGTGTACAAATTTAACGCCACCGCCACCGCGGCAGTGTGTGGGGACCTTAAATCTTGTACACTACGTAAAAAGATAAAAACCAGTTTACAATAATCAAATACAGATCTAGTGAGTATCTATCTATACTATCTATAATCAATGGTAATATTTAGATTTGCAATCGCTACGTAAATACTTGTAGACGCATTATTATCACGAGGAAACCATTGATTTTTTTTATTTTTATTCAGCAATAATTTGTATGATCTGTGTTTACATAGAATAAAAAAAATGTCTGAAAAAATATAAGAATTTGACACAAAAATGTTTAGGGTGAAGGAATCACCCGTTGGTAATAATAATAATTTTGGTCTATTAAAAATCTCGATGCTAACGTCGCTCCAGTCCCCTTGGAGATTGGAGAAGGAAGGAATAAACTAATATATTTTCTGAGTATAATTCTCTAGCAAAAATAACTTGAGGAATTTACGGAGGTACAAGCGTCTGTGCGTCCTGATATGTTGAAGACGAAAAGCAAATCAAGATCATCGTGCAAGTTGTGATTGAATATTAATCGTATTGTAGTGATTCTTTTGAAAACGTCTGACATTTTATAACAAATGCAAAATTTGTACAGTTACGTTATAATGTGATCAATTTTTATTGCATTATTAGTAAAGACCGGATTTAATTGATATTGCAACTTTTTATTGATACCCGGTAAATCAAATCTGATTAAATATGTATACGAATCAGATTAATCAAACAGTCTTCCTATTTAATTTAATAATGCAATTTTTTGTGTATTTCACGTGATAAAATATATAAATTATTATTTCCAAAGTGATTTTACAAAAAAAATATAACTACGACGTAAATTTTTACATGTAGTTTAGGATTTTTAAAATAATATTTATCTGGATTGTCCACAAAACTCACAAGTTTTGAAGAATCAAATAGTCAATTACTAAATAGTTTAAACATATTTAGTATAAATACTAAATAAATAAATAAATAAATACTAATCAAATACTAACTAAATAAAAATATTTAATATAAATATTTCTATAAATATTCCCGATCCTAATGGAAAAACAGTTAAAGATAAATTAAAATATGTCTCAGAAAAAAATGATGGATATAAAACTATTAAAACTTACTCTGAGATTATAACAGGAAATCAAAATGTTTATTTAGATATAACACCCAATTTTTAAACTATTTTAAATATGCATCGATAGTAAGTGTCGACGTTGAACGTACTTTTTCATTATATAAACATATTTTAAGTAATAGACGATACAATTTTCAAGAACACAATTTAGAAACGTATATAATGATAAATTTTAATTTTCAGAAAAATTATATATTTTGTAAATATTATATAAATGTCCATAATATTATTAAGTAAGTAATTAATGATTATATATTTGATATGATTTTACTAGGTATGTAATTTTAATGTATTTCATTTCAATTTTAACATATATATACTGCAATTTTGATATATCTTCATTGCAATTTTGGTATCTTTTTAGTAAAATATTAAGATATTTTTAATGCAATTATATCCGGTCTTTAATTATTAGATACTTATTTACACTTATTTCACCGACCGCTCTTAATCGTTTTTCGAATATGATAAATAATTTATTATGTCTTTAAAATATAAATTTAAATATTATTGACGTATTTTCCATGATTAATATTTAATCGTAAGTCCATATTTTCAATCAATTTATTAAATTATTACCATATAAAAATTATTAATTGAATTATAATTTCATCTATTTTAGTATTGATTCAGCGTTATCATCATATAGAATCTATAAGATGATAACGCTGAACCGATATATTATAGATAATACATACATATATATATATTTGTGTGTGTATAAGTGGAAATAACATATATTCACAATACAGTAAGACCGTACTACAGTAACGATGTACGTTTCATTCCTGTCTCTTATCGTTATTTTATTATTTTTATATTTACAATTTTCTATTATTTTTCAATATTAGAAGTATAATAATCGTTCATCGTTTATCTTAGTCTCATCTCGCAACCATAATTAGAGCTATTTTATCATAATAATGAACAACTCGCAGAAATCCAAAGCTAATACGCCTGTTAAGAAGCAACCAAACAGTTAAAATAATAAAACAATTAGGTACTGTGGATAATATTTGGTATCTATTGTCAGATGCCAACCACAAGGTAAGTACGTACGATTCAGGTATTAAAGACATCAATATTAAGCTATCCAACCTTGAATCATTGTTTATCGATCTTAAAAAATCTATGAGTAATTGTCGGCTGATTTATCTAAAGTTAAAAAAGATAATGCAACCATTACTACGTTTACATGATATAAGTTGAACTGTTTTTAATTTAAATCGATTTTATTATGAATTGACCTAAATTTCCTGACCTGTTTACATGTAAGTCTTAAATATTAAATCGGTATGTTATAATATTCATTATTCCATGAAATTTATATTTCTTTCCAGCTCCATTATCATATTGAATACTTATAACTTATCAATAATTTGTTTCTTAAATTTTTAATATTTTTTGTTTATTATTTAAACGCTGACATAAAATGAATTCTATACAGGCAATCACTTGTTTAAATCTATATAAATTTAAATGTGAGGTGCTTCGTAGTAAATATAAACTGTTATTACTACGCCGTTGACGACAATTTAAAAAAAAAAAAAATGATGTATCTTCAAATGTCTTTAAAAATAAATAATCAATTCATGTACAATATGATTACTTTTAATTTGAATCATATGAGTAGAATGATGTGGATAAAGGTATGCAATATAATACCTATTAATTTTTTGTAATAATCAGTCACCGTTATAATTTCAATGTATGATATTTTGTTTTTATTTCTGTAGCACTCCAACTACATCTTTTGTTATTATTATTCATTTCTAAATTGTTATTTATTATATAATAGTTATTCTCTTAAATTTAAGAGCCGTGTACCAGCAAAAATAACTGAAAAATATGTTATCACTTATCAAAATAAAAGTGATCGGTTTAGAGTGTTTACATGTACAAAATTACAACCGACCTTATTTATTAAACCGATTTAATTTGGTTAAACCACATATT